AAAGGGAGGAAATGGAACTAAAAAAGTTCCCAACTAATAAGAGTTTATTGAATAAGATAAATATTTTACAGCATAAAATTAATTTGTTAGAACAAGAGATGGAGAAAACAATAAAATTTGCGAGACATAACTTTTTTGAGAATGCAAATAAGCCAGGAAGATGGTTAGCATATAGAATAAAAAAAGAGAGAGAGAAAACGAGAATTACGGAAATACTGGATAAGCAGCGAAAGGAAATCTATAAGCAAAAGGAGACTGAAAAAGAAATAGTAAAATTTTATGCTGGCCTCTATAAGAAAAGAGAAGTAGAGCAAGAGAAGCAATTGGAATACTTGAATAAATCTCCAAAATGGAAGCTTGACCACCAACAACTTGAGAAATTAAACAAATCAATCACAATGGAGGAGATTCAAGAGGCTTGGAAAAAACAGGAAAATGGCAAATCTCCAGGACCAGATGAATTACCAGCTGAATATTCTAAGGAGTTTGAAGAAATCTTAAGTCCTCAATTTAAGAAGCTAACCGAAGTCATTGAGTCCAAGGGGGTAATACCAAATACATGGAAAGAGGCACACATTTCATTAATACATAAAAAGGGGACCGAAAAGAACAAAATCAAGAATTACAGACCAATCTCTCTACTAAATGTTGATTATAAGATCTTCACAACCATCTGGGCTTCAAGATTAAAGGAAATATTAGGAGAAATAATACGTAAAGACCAAACAGGTTTCCTTTCTAAAAGGAAATTGTCATCAAACATAAGGACAATAATAGACATTTTAGAATATTATGAACTTCATCGAGGAAAGCAGATGATGTTAATCTTTCTAGACGCAGAGAAAGCCTTCGATAATGTCAGCTGGGAGTTTATGATGCTACAACTAAAGGAAATGGGAGTGGAAGGAAAATTTCTACAAATAATCAAAGCAATATACTCTAAGCAAGAAGCCAAGATTAAGGTCAATGGGAGAGTATATCGATTGAACAAGGCACAAGACAGGGTTGTCCGTTATCCCCTCTTTTATTTATATTAATGCTGGAAATCCTAAATAGACAGATAAGAGCTAATGAAAGAGTTAAAGGTCTAAAAATTAGAGGGGAAGAATTTAAGGTACAAGCTTATGCAGATGATCTGGTAATAATACTTGAGAATCCTCAGGGAGACCTAGAGGAAGTATTGAGAATCATAGAAGAGTATGGACAAGTGGCAGGTCTCCAAATTAATCATCAAAAAACAAAAGTTATAATTAAAAACATAAAGAAACAACAAGCTGGAAAACTGCTGAGAGAAATTAATTTTGAAGTAGTACAAAAATTAAATATTTAGGAGTCATCATCACCAAAAAACCCAGTAACCTAATGAAAGAGAATTACCTCAGAATACAGAAGGAAATTCAGAAGAACCTGGAAGATTGGAGTAAGCTTCAACTATCATTGATGGGAAGAATAGCAATGATAAAGATGATGATTTTGCCTAAACTACTATTTCTTTTCCAAAATCTACCAATATTATTAAACTTCAAATATTTTAAAGAATTGGATCGACTGACAACCAAATTTATATGGAAGACTAAGAAACCAAGAATAAAACTTAA